TTTTGGAAGTTCTAGGCCTCGTACGGAAACAAAAATAGCACCATTCGATTCGCCGTGAAAAACTGCATCAGATACACTTTTTTAGGCCTTAACAACCAACTTCAAAATTTGACCTCACTTGACCTGACCTTGACCTGACCTCGACCTGAAATTCATCCAGAGGTGGTCCATATCACTTATTGAGTGTGCCTATTGAATTCTATGAATAAAATGACCCGTAAAACATGTGTCGCACATGCCCTTTTCTACTTTTGTTTTTGGTGACCTGACCTGACCTGACCTTGACTTTAAATTAAGTACATGTTTTAGTTGTTCGTGATGAGATCTTTCGAGTGGCGTTTGAATTTTCAAAATCGGACCATTAGTTCGGGAGATAACAGGGGGGGGTAGAATTTACCCCCCCCCCCCCAGCCCCGCGCGTTCGGCTGGAGACCCCAGCCCCGCGCGGGTTAACCCGCGCATGACTGGGGTATTTTCCATAACGCGAGTGACTGGGGGGGGGGGGCGGCCCTATCTCCGAAACTACTGGGCCGATCGTCAAAATTCAAACGGCGTCTGATAGCCCTGGAAAAACTGTCCAGCGAAACCTATTTTCATTGACCTCGAGGTCACCGATGACGTCACAGGTCAGGTCAAAGTAAAAATTATCGACATTTTTGCTAGTTCACAATTTAGGCTCTGACCACCGGACGGCCGGTCCGATCAGGCTCATTTTTGGTTTACGCACTCCTTGACGGATGCCTTAGATACCCCGAGGGTACCGACCTTTTACTTCGAATTTTAAGGTCAAGGCCAGGTCATCCTAGGTCACGAAAATTGTATATCATGTATCGGTCACGTGACGCATGTTTTATGGTCCATTTTACTTTTAGATTTTGAAAATAGCGTCGTTTCTGTCATTTCAGGTCATTTTCAGCTGAATTTACCGGAGGTCAGGTCACTTTCAGGTCAGAAAAGGTCAAATTTTGAAAATGAAATTTTTCAACAAAAAAAGTGCCTATCAGATGCAGTTTGAGCTCAGGAACACGATGGTGCCACTCATATTTCTGTACCACGTCAAAAACGTACTGAAAAATGGATTTGAAAAACATAAAATTGTAACATTTTGACAATAATGCGAATAGCTTGGCTATTTTTGAAGATATTGGACTAAAACTTGCAAATGTAGTTCATCAGTTTGTGTTCTATCACATATACCTATTCCGGTTTTGTGAAAAGTCAAAAACTTTTTGAAGGAATAAAGAATATATTTTTTGTAATTGTAAATACATATTTTTCAAAATCGTCAAAATATCGAAAATTCGAGATAGCAGTTTTATAGCTACGTGTATTTGTAGTCCACTCATGCAAAGAAAATGGATTTAGCTTTAAAACTGAGCTCTTGAGAGCGTTTGCCGTAATTCAGTATTTTGCATGAAAATCGGCCGACATGACGTCACTCTGACGTTATTTCCGGTCAAACTATGGTAGCTAGAAAGTTGAAATTTTAACACAAGGTGTCAAATTGATGCCTTTGAAGGTAGGTACCGCAAGTTTCGTGTTGATCTGTCAAACGGTTTAGAAGATTTTGCTGAAAAACGGGAGGGGGGCTCTGTAGAGCCCCCCCAGTCTTGCGCGGGTTAACCCGCGCCCCGTTGGGGGAGGGGGGCAGAATCTGCCCCCTCCCGTTTTTCGCCAATAACTTCTAAACGCGTTACGGCAGCGACGTCAAACTTTGCGTACCTTATCATACATCAATTTGCCACGTTTCCTGAAAATTTGAGCGAAATCTGTCAGAAGCTTTTTGAGAAATTGTCGTTTTAGTGACGTCATGTTCGCCATTTTCGCCTCAAAAACGGCAAAATTTCAAACGCCGCTAACATCTTCATTTTTAAAGGAATCAAGACGTAACAAAAAAGTGTGTAGGTGATTCTAGGTACTTTATGTATTAAATGGCTATCTCGGTTTTTTGAAAATTGTGGATTTTGGCCCAAGTTTCTTTTTTCAAAAAATTGACTTTTTTGGGAAAATAATTATAAAATCCAAAATTTTGAGTGTATCGAAAAAAACGGAATATATGTCAGAGAAGTGGTCTATGTGTACCAACATACCAATTTTCAGAGAAGAGTCGGTTCAATATGTGGGAGTTATTCAAAATTTTATGACGTCACGACTAGAGGTGGCAAAATGTGGACCCGAGGACCCGGTTCAAAGAACCAGTCTGGACCCATATGGGTCCAGACCGGTTCCTGGAAATTTTCTGACGGGTCCAACCGGGTCCTTCCATAAACTATACATCTTGCACACTACACATTATTGCAAAATATGAAGTGAAGGAAGTGAATGTTTCTTTGCGCACAGTAGCTCATGAGTATTCCCAGTGGGACATAGGCTGTTTTACATGATGCAACTAATGATACTTACAAGTAGTTTGTATTAATTGACTTTTGGGGAACTGGTCCAACTGGGTCCGATTCCAACTAAGACCGGGTCCGACTGGTTCCAGAAATGTCCAGCCGGGTCTGGTTCGAGTCTGGTTCCCAAAATTTTCATCTTTTGCCACCTCTAGTCACGACACACAAAATTTTGAAAAATTATTTTTTGGAAGGTCTGGACCCCGTACGCGTACGGAAACAAAAATAGCACCATTCGATTTGCCCTGAACAACTGCATCAGATAGACACCTTTTTAGGCCTTAACATCCAACTTTTTGAAAATTTGACCTCACTTTGACCTCACTGACCTCGACCTGAAACTCATCCAGAGGTGGTCCATATCACTTATTGAGTGTGCCCGTTGAATTCTATGAGTAAAATGACCCATACAACATGTGTCGCACATGCCCATTTCTATATTTTGTTTTTGGTGACCTGACCTGACCTGACCTGACCTTGACCTAGACCTTTGAATGACATTGTATGCAACGAATATTGTCTTGGTAGTCTAAGAACACGTTTTGGGCAATCAGTCTCAGTCCATTCTTCGGCAACTACGGTGCAAGGCCGATACTGTAGAAACTTGCATTTTGTACCCTTGACCTGACCTTGACCTGACCTCTGACCTACTTCAGCAAAAAATGGGCTCTTAAGATCCGCCTTGTTGAGAGCTTTCGATTGCCGTTTTCCCCGTCTTCCTACAACCATCGGTTCGGAAGTTTGACAGGGGGTGGGGGCAGATTCTGCCCCCACCCCTAATCTGCCCCCCCCCCCCCAGCAGGGCGCGTATGGCTGAATAGCCCAGCGGGGCGCGGGTTAACCCGCGCCCCGTAGGGCTACCGGTGGACCCTACGACCCGTAGGGGGGGGGGCGTTTCGCCCCCCCTAAGATCTCGGAAGTTTACCGGCCGATTTTCAAAATTCAAACGGCGTTCGATAGCCCCACCAAGGAACTACCTTGTGACCAAATTTCATTGACCTAGGTTAAACCGATGACGTCACAGGTCAGGTCAAAGGTCGGATTTTCACCATTCACAGGCATTTCAAGAAAAGTGTTGTGAAATCGAGTAAATTGGTAAGTTATTGAAAACCATCGATGGTTCATTGTTCGACAAACACATACTTCGCTATCTGAGGTCACTGATACCAGGTCAGGTCACAGAGGTCAGGTCACTGGGGGGTCACAATGTGAATTGTGTCGGGTGATACATGATTTATGGTTCATTTTACATGACAAATGCGATCATGTGGGTCAGGCAGCCTTTGGGACCAGCTTAGGTCACGTTTTGGTGAAGGTCAGGTGAAGGTCAGGTCAAATAAGGTCAAATTTCAAAGTTGATATTTTTGCATAAAATGGGTATCGATTCGATGCAGCTCGTCACGGGGAGTCCAATGGTGGTCTTTGTTTTGCCCTACGGGGTCTAGAATTGACAAAATTTGAGTTTGAAAATTTGACGTCATCATTTTTGAACAGTTTTTCGCTATAACTTAGCCAAAAACGAGATATCGATCTGAAATTTGGTATGTAGATAAAAGACGGTAGGTACTAACATATATAATCGTTTTTTTTTTACTCAAAAAGCTTTTTGGATTTTGTGTCTAATATATCCAAAAAATTGCGTTTTTGATTTTTGGGGGTCAAAACTCAAAAATTTCAAAAATCCGAGATAGCCGTTTTGAAGCCCTGTCAATTCTACACCTATAATGTTTTTTATCATTTTTCTGTATCTGCAAAGCTGTAGGCTTGACAGTTCTTCTCGCGAAGGTCTTTTTTCGGTCAAAAATGGCAGAACATGACGTCATTCTGACGTTATTTTTGGCCTCTGGAAACATTTTTGGTCACAATGTGTAAAATTAATGCCCGGAGGGGTCCTGAAAGTTTGGTGGCGATATCTCCAGCCGTTTAGGAGATATGGACGGAAAAGAACAGGGGTTTCACCCCCCCCCCCCACGGGGCGCGGGTTAAAAATGACCCAAGTGTTTTCTTCCTTATTTTTGACGCTCTTTCTATTGCCGCTTACCGCGTGTCGCTACGTGGCCCAGGAGCCGAGTTAGACGGGGGGGCGTACGCCCCCCCCCCAGCACTCGGCGGAAAGTTCAGGCCATCATCACGTCGCGGGTTAACTGTTTCCGCAAACAAAACGTGAGTTTTGGCAGTTCTTGCCCTCTACAGGCCTTTGGTGAAATATTTGGGCAATCTTCAGAAATAATGTTAAAAGTCAGAGTTTCGGAGTGGTAGCAGCTTTTAACTGACTTCACATCAGACTCCGACTCCGGGCTTTCCATCGGCTCCGACACCGATTCAGGGTCAAGGAGCCCCAGCAGAGCCGCGAGTTCGATAGGAGCGTTCAACCCCCCCCCCATCCCACCCCTCCTCCCACACATATGGCATGCAGGAGCCCCACCGGGGCGCGGGTTTTAAGTTATGCCTTAGATAACATGAACTCATAATTCACAATTCATAAATAACATGATTTTTGTTATCTATGCTGGAGCCTTTGAGCATTGCGTCATGCTGCTGTTTGCCACGCGTGAGACACATCGTTCCTAGTCGTAGAGAGAAAATAGCGCCGATATAACTCGTCCCTTTCACTCATTCACATTTTTTATTAACCAGTCTCCTCTCCACAATAAGACAAAACTGCCACGGCAGTCTTGCTGCCACACCGGACCCCGCACATCTGCAAATATCGAGCCGATTTCGACATCGATCACAGCGCCCGTTGAGCAGCCGTTCAAAATATAGCCGTGTGCCCGGCGTCTGATGAGCAGGCCGCTTGTAAAAATCAGATCACTGTCAGTCACAGAGTAAATAAATCAGTCACAGTTCGCAGTCAACTCCTATATCATATAGGCACGCCTATTGTTGATGAATATAAAACGAAGAGAAAAGCTCCTTTCTTCAGAGTAGTGGCCTTAACAGCCACCGTCTGCCCCACTAGAGATTCGTGTCGGGCGTGCTAAAGCCGACCTAGCTGCGCGTGCGGCCGCGCCGGAGCCCGTTCAGATGTCGCTCTCTGACGGCCAGCGGCGGCCGGCCATCGCCTGGTTCAGCTCGGCGGTGAACTGGTGCGAGCTGCCGGCCGGCGCCGGCTGCGCGAACTGCAGCTGCTCGTACTGGGGCGGCGGCGCGCTGTACGGCTGGCGCACCGCCGGGGGCACCGGGGCGCGCCGTTTGCCCGTGCCCGTGCCCCTCTGTTCCGGGTCGAAGCCGGGTGTGTCCGGCAGAGAGGGCGCGCTAGCGGCGACTGGAGGCGGCGGCGGCGCCTTGCGCACCGAGCGCATCCTGCGCGGCGGCTGCATCTCGATCGGCTCGTGCAGCCGGTCGCCGGAGCCGTCCTCGCCGCCGTCATCGGTCCCTTCGCTCGGCGACCGCGGCTTGGCTTTCCTGAAAAGGTCAGCAAACTGGTCAGCTGGGCACCGCCAGTCAGCTCTAGATGCAGGGAGGGACGCATAATGGGACCGGCCAGCACCAAGAGCGCATTTACCAACTACATTATCTCGGCTCTCTGTCTGCAGCTAACATGTATGAAATCACGCATGTCACACATTTTGTATCAAAATTCTAGATCGAGTCCGTCCCGTATATCAGTTGGTAGAAGCTTGGACCTCCGGCTCTCTGACTGACTGGGATAGTGGCAGTTGATGGGAGCAGCCACGGCAAGTTGAACGCTAAATTTTGGCCTCCAAACTATCTCGACTCGATAACCCATAGGTATGTATTCCCGATCGAACGATACGGGTTGAGGCTTGAGCAACAAGCTCTGTTTGTCGTGCAAACTTCAAATTTCTGCAATAAGAAGCAATTAACTAAACAGACTTAAGCACGAATCCCTGAAAACTTAAACCGGTCAAATTGAACAAAATGAGGAAATAGGATCCCATGGAGAGGAAGAAACGTGAAAGAATCGGGTCACAACAACGAAGACGCAGAGTGTCTGGATGGAACTCAAGGAGGTAGGGAGTGCTGCAAATGCAGCGGCTATGCCTGTGCAATGCAAGCGGCTGTCACTTGCTAAGTAGGTCTGCCACGCCTTTGTGTTGATAATCTCGTAGATAGTTACATACCCGAAAATCGGCATCATGTACTTGGGTGCACGCCTCGTGCGAAAGCAATCGCAGTCGCAGATGAATTCCATGAAGCCGAGGAACGTATTGCTGTAGCAGAAGTTGCCGCACCGGCCCGCCGGGCGGCCCGAGAGGTTCTGATTGGGCGGCAGCTCGTCTGTGGGAGGGCAGCCCGGGTCAGCGACAAGCAGTGGCACGGGTCAGCGACAAATGGCGGAACAGGTCAGCGACAAACCGCCAAACAGGTCAGCGGCAAACGGCGGCTCGGGTCAGCGACAAACAGTGGCACGGGTCAGCGAGCACGGGTCAGCGACAAATGGCGGAACAGGTCAGCGACAAACCGCCAAACAGGTCAGCGACAAACAGCGGCTCGGGCCAGCGACAAACAGCGGCCCGGGTCAGTGGCAAACAGTGGCCCGGGTCAGCGACAAACAGTGGCCCGGGTCTGCGACAAACAGCGGAATAGGTCAGCGACAAACAGCGGCTCGGGTCAGCGACAAATGGCGGAACAGGTCAGCGACAAACAGCAGCCCGGGCCAGCGACAAACAGCGGAACAGGTCAGTGTCAAACAGGGACCAAAGTCAAAGACGGATAGCGGCCATTTTCCCTCTGTCTCGCATCAAGATCATGTAAACCTACATAGCCAACAACCAGCATACATGAAATACCGCTCCAGACTGGCCTTGATTTTAGTTATTCCAGTCGCTGACCCAAGCCTGGATCTTCAACACTAAAGTCGCTGAATTCGGTCGATTCTCACACACAATTATAAGTTTAAACATTTGACACTGTCGTTTGTTATCTAGTCACAACCTGGCATGATCGAAATACACCTGCCTTACTTGACCTTAGTGAACTCTCAAAATGAACTTCCGCGCAAAAAAGTTATTATTCCACGCGTCTGAACATGACAAATGCATACGGTGTTAACAAAGTCGCTATACGACCAAATGTGCCAACTTTATTCACCCCAACTCTTTAATCAACAAACGAATTTTTGAAGTTACCCTAACTCGCAGGTTAACACTTGGTCTGATCTCAGACGTCAAAATTGTGTACCAACCATTGTGTCTTGCAGTCAAAACGCTCGTTATTCCATCGAAGCTCTGAGTTAATTAGGAGTAGAACACGAGCTTGTGTTTACTCAGATCGGCCATCTGTAGAAAATCGATACGATCTATTAGGGGTCACTGAATAATTATGGATTGGGAATAGAGCTGTACATACCCAGTCGTGATTTGGGATGTTTCTGGCAGCAGACACAAAACATTCTGGTGCAGGCCTCATAGTGTTGACGCATGCCAATGCTGGAGAACATTGAATTTAAGCATCGACTGATCTGTAACAGATGTAAACCGGCACATGCCTGCAGTCACAACCATTAAGAGCTGATTGGACATTATAGCCACATTGAAAGAACATAGGCTGGAAAAAATAATTGCTTTCGACACAAACAGTAAAACCATAGTGAAAACATAAAAATAGCTGAGTGGTAAGGGAAAACGCCGGCCGCACAGCATAACACAGCATAAGAGTTATTAACAATGCGAACATATAAGCACATCATAACAAACATTAAATCAAGAGGTACTGACGACTGAAGCAAGCAAGCGACCTGGCGACGTTCTCATGGCATTAAGGCTAGGATCACAACACAGAGAACACCATTGCAGGATGATATACCTAGTGCATTAGCCCGCGGTCCGCAAGTCTTCCACGCAGTGCTCGTGATGCAATCTAGTTATAGCCATTCCTTCTAGTTATAGATATTCAATCCCAAGCAATGTAAGGAGAGTGAGACAGGTAACTACTATAAACATCGCAAAAATAAGGATAAATAGATAATATTATTTGTTATTCTTTACTTGATCATTACTTAATGTCATTTGATAACTGATCAACATAAAGATCACAACCAAGTAATCAAGAGGCCGTTCTGGGACTATAGTAAGGATTTGTTACGAAACAGCTGCTGATACTCTCCTAGCCTGCCAGTGTCGTCAAAGGCGGCGGAACACCTTCAATTAAGGGGGGGGGGGGGGTACTGCCGACTTTTGGTCCCATTCTCTCCATGCAACGCCCATAGGGCCAATTTTAAAATGTCAAAATCGGGGGCACGAAGTTCCCCCCGTTCCGCCGCCTATGAGCGTCGTGTGTGCGTAGGTAGGTACCTATAGTAAGTTTTTAACCAAGCGCTTTTCTCGTTGTTATCGGCGGCCGGCAGAAACACTGTCAAAAGTCGCTGACTTCACTTCTTTACAGCTGTACTTGTATTGCGCGTCCTGGGCCTCGTTTCATAAAGCGAGTCCGTAACTTACGGCGGTTTTTGGTCTTGTATTGCAAGTGCAAGTGAAGCGATGACGTTAGTTTGAATCGATGAATTTATTTATCTTGCAAGCAAGAACAGAAGGGAGAAGGGGAGATAAATTTATCGTTTCATATGCACTTGCAATACAAGACCAAAAACCGGCGTAAGCTACGAACTCGCTTTATGAAACGAGGCCCTGGAAGTGGAGGCATTTTATAAGACAGCGTCTCGCAGAAAAGCAGGGATATGTTTCGGAAGAAACAGCACAAAGCGATTCTGAGCGTTGACCGTTGCGACTTAACTAAAATGAAAATGCACGTCTCGAATACACGATGTCCTTTGATGGTGTTATAAGCAAAACCGTGGCACTAAGTGTTAAACCAATGAGTCATCGCCACTTCAAAGACCGTATCACGATAAGTAACATAAAATAAGCTCACCTGCACTTTAAATTTTCTGTAGATGAAAATTAGCAGGAAAAGGAGAACACAAACACCAAGAATTATGCCAACCGTTTCACCAGCCTCCTTCATGTGTTGTGCGGACTCCTGCGGGAGGGAACAGATCAGTGTTACGTACAAAATTGCAGGTTGCACAAACGTTCAAACACTGTAATGTATCCATAACCTGCACACGCGTTCATAATCCCGTACCTATGTAAGAACTAAGGAGCGTTCGTAGATGGGGCTGGCGTCATTTTATCATTATCACTTGCCCAGCATATCCAGCGTTTAATTGCATGAAAAATTCCGCTGCAAAGACCTGTCGAAATGAACTAATGCCGTAGGGGCAAGTGCACAAGCACGGCACGATGCCTTTCATTAGAACAAGTTAAATCATCGTCATTAAAACTTAATCGTGATGTGAATCAGGTGATGTAATTCCCACACTAGTTTTCATGAATATTTCAACAATCCCCAAATATATTTGACTGAAATTTCACACAGCTTCGTTTTTCTCGTCGGTCACAGCATACAAATAAAAAGTGTACCTAAATGCCCACAGCAGGTAATACGCATTAGTTTGATCAAGCATATCCAAAATTGATGACTATACCTCTTTCTCCAGGTCCGCGGCTCGCTTGCAGAAATAGTACTTGTACCGTGTGTAGGCGAACGAGTCGCTGGTCAGTCCCGAGCACAGACACTGGTAGTACGGCAGCGTGGCGTTCTTGTGGTGCTCGGAGCAGCGCTCCACAGCCGCCGTCATGTTCTTCTTGAAGCTGTGGAACACAAATTTCAGTCGACAAAGGTTGGTTCTGAACAGTGAGTTCATGACACAAATTTAGCATCTACCCCCGGGCCCCGTGAACCCTGTCCACACGTCTACTATTCATTAGGTATGGTGGTTACACAACGGTAAATAATAATCTACAGACACATTTTCTTCATCCGTTCTCTTTGAACATGACGCGGTATTCAATCGATTATTCGAGTTCGCGGGAAGTTCAAATTATTGTTTGAAAAACAACTATGCTGTACCTACTTTGAAGTGACCCTCATGGTTTATTTAGGGTGATAATTTCAGGGCCGCGTGAATCGTGATTCAAGACATAGACCAAGACATTGACAGAGACTTTAGAGACGCCATGTCATTGATGATTGACAGGACCGTGGGAAAGAGCAATCTTTGTGCTGATTAGACTACCCAGCCAGTGAGCCACAGCGACTCATTCTGTTCCGTTCATATAAGGCGTGCCTACCCCGGTGGGACAGGTCATCAGGCTCCTCAAACGGTCACCACGGCGTACCCGGAGGAATATGCTGCTATAAAACTGACCCCAGCGATTGTGGAGTCGAGTAACCATCGACTGGGAACTGCGAAATATGATCGAGGATGATGTGGCGTTGGTCGCGCACAGAGGCGGATCCAGCTCAGAGTTTTTTTTTTGGGGGGGGGGCAAACCATAACAATTTATCGATTCTTTCCATGCCTCGTCCATAGGCGTAATGTTAAAATTATGCCGTTTGGGAGGGGCAAATGCCCATTTTGCCCCCCCCCCTGGATCCGCCACTGGTCGCGCAGATCAAAAAGACCAATGAAAGACGTGCCTATCGCCGTCATAGTGCCCTGTCGACAAACAGTAAACCTCTAGTTGATGTTGCTCCGCCCCTCTGCATGACGTCACACGTTATGACCACGAACAGCTAGGCTCTGATTGGCTGACGAGTCCAATCCCACGAGCAGCTGTTTACACTTGGGAAATTTGCACCCCGGGCTACACAAAGCATCACATCGCAGTCAGAGCGGTGGGGAATGTGTAAAGCAGCGCCGGCAATCTAGATAGATGAGCTGCAGCTGCGATGTGGCACGGCCGACCGGCTCTATATACATACAACGGCGGCCTGCCGGCCGGGCCTGCCTGGCGTCCTGCCGGCGCGGCGCGGCGCTTCACTGGACCGACGTCCTGCAGAGCCCCACCGGCGCTCAGACGGTAAACCACCGCGCCGGCCTCGCTCATTAACTCAGTACACTGACATTGCTGCATATTTCTTAGAGCTGAGCGGTAAACGGGTCTACTACAAAGCAACATAATTTTTAGTGCAATCGAATAGTTTTGTGCGTCATCGTGTTAAATAACTACAACTCAAGAAACTGCTATGTAAGCTGACTAGCAGTCGACTGAGGACAATATGTTTCACCTTTCACAATCTATCAATTGATTGGAGCGCTATATATTGTGCCATTTACCTAGTGTTTATGCAGATCGTGGGGTCAAAGAAACGAGCTGCCGCTGCGTTATTCAGCCCGTGCCATGCGGCACAGCCTACCATTCCAGGCAACTGATTGCCTGTGAGAAACGGCACACCATTCTGCAGTCAAACTTCCTGCTACCGAATATCCATTTTAAACATAGCAACCGCAAATGCGTGATATCCTTGAAGCAAAATGTAAGGGACGGTATAGGGTCAAGCGGAGTAGCTTAGAAATGTCCTAAGCCTGCGCTTAATTAATTGGCCGCATGGATCTCCAAGTAAATGTCTATGACTTTTGTCTGTGTCTGATATAAAGTGACGAAATTTACCGTAAATAAAACGAGACACGTTTTTGATTTAAAAAAAATCGCGGGGCAAAGTGAACCACTGTTGGTTCACTTTGCCCCATTTCGCCAGAATAATGCTAGCCCGCCTGGACCACTTTACCCCATTTTCAAATTTCTCGTTTGATCACGCATTGCAGACAATACCTATGCGGCAAATAACGATTGCTGCTTTAAGGACGCAATTACAGCCATACAAATGCATTTCCCAAGTACATACGTTCATGAAGATAGAAGCATAAACAATGAAACATGGTACCGTAAGGTGGGGCTATTTGAGACAGTATTTAAAATTGTTATAAAATAAAACTCGTTTGAAATTTATGCTTAATTTTTGCTCAGGCGATTTACTGCTCGATTCCACACCTTCCTGAGCAAAAATATCACATAAAATCAAACGATCTTCATTTTATAGCGATTTTAAATACTGTCAAATAGCCCCACTTTACGGTACTTATGATGACATTTTTGTAACACTGAAATTAGAAAGGAAACTAAAAAACGCACTTTTTTGCTCTAGAGCGAAGGAACTCACCCGGATCAGGCTGCCGCTACAGTGGAAATACGCAGATGGGAAGCACTTCTAATGGCTATCTTAAAAATAAATGACGCTACTTATAATACGCACAACAGTATATAATAGCCGTTTTCACGACGGCCATCTGGTACACATTTGGTGCACATTTGGTGCAGATTAGGTACAGTTTTGGTCAAATTAGGTTCAGTGTGTCTCTTAGTACCTAGCTATCAGCTAGGGTTGCACTAATGGCTTATACGCCTGCTTTGTCATATTGTCAGAGTATCATCGATAAAAATACTGAAATAAATTCATAAAATAAAGATATTTGCTGTAAAAGAGATTAGGTGCAGATTTGGTCAAATTAGGTGCACTCGCCGGATAGCCCGTCGTGAAAACGGCTAATATAACACAACAACTTATAATACCAGGGCGAGTGGTTTGCTTTGCCACGGTGGTCCGCTAATCTATAGGTACCCCAATTTCCCATATGATTAAAATAGCTACAGCTAGACCCACCACCTGAAAGCCATCGACTTAACTATTTAATTAAAACAGATTCGTCAACGATAACTACGCTATACGTTCGTGCGGACATTAAGATAAAAGAACGTAAGTTGATGCAACCATATGTGGCTATATTAAAAAAAAAAACATTTCTGGTGACGGTCTTGATCTTTTGCCCATCTATCAACTTGCTCATCGTATCTAGTGTGACGCATCTACCTTATCCTTACTTCTTCCCTGTAATCCGAGCCGGCTGAAAGGCGACATGATGACGCGCCGAGCTACCGGATGCGCCGGGCGAGTCAGCAGCTCCCGTTTCGGGTGGGTTGGCCCGTACGGTAGAGACCTAATTTCAGGCCTGTCAGCGCAGCTGATTCGACAAGACTGTTCAGGACCCGCTGCTTCGGCAGTTCAGCGGGGCGTTCAGGAAGTCCGCTAGTTGCTTACCCTTGCCACTTGACTGGCCCAACCGTGGTACAATTAGGGGAGAGTGGGGAAAGATGCCCAGGGTTTTACTATGTCATATATTATTCGAAAATGACGATCGGAAAGCAAAAACTTGGAGTTTCAACGGAAGCCGACATCATTTTGCTCCAAAAATATCACACTTTCGTGCCTGAGATATGATAACTTTTTTGATATTAAGCATTTTCCTGAAGAAGTGAAAGGGGGCATCTTACCCCACATAGTGGGAAAGACGCCCCCTGGCGTTGGGGAAGATGCCCCCCTGCACTATAAGTGACATAAATGGGCACGTGAATCGCCTGAACGAATCAGTAGTCCCTTCGAGCCTGCAGTAGACACCAAACGTCATCGTAAGGGCCCTCAAAAGTAGTCGTAAGGGGCTTCAGAGGTCATCGTTAGGGCCATCATAGTTCAGCGCGGCCAAACAAGCCTCCGTGGTGGCGTTCGGATACCACTGTGGGGCCCTTATAGGTCTTCATGATGCTTGAGGGCCCTGGAGCCCATCGTGGGGACCTCAGCAGGGCCTATTTTAACATGTTAACTGGGGGGGCAAATGCCCCCGCACTCAACAGAATTGCCCCCCCCCCCAGTCGTCGAGATGTGCCCACTATAAAAATGGGCATAAAGGAACACGGTGACAAACATACAACTGTGACTTGTTTTGCAATGGATATCAAATGAGTCAGTCTGCAAGTAATGACCAGTGGTGGATCCAATGGTGGGTCATATGGGTTATGACCCCCGCCCCCTTTGGCCCGGGGGCACCACAGGCCTGCCTGGGGCACCACCGGCCTGTCAGGGGCACCACAGACCTGTTGGGAGCACCATCGACCTAGGAAGAGCACCATAGGTCTGCCAGGGGCACCACAGACCTGCCAGAGGCCCCACCGGCCTCGCAGGGGCGCCACCTTGGGCCTGTCAGGGATACCACCACAGGCCCGCCAGGGGCACCACAGGCCTGCCAGAGGCACCACAGGCCTAGCAAGGGCACCACGGACCTGTCAGCGACACCACGGGCCTGTCGGGGGCACCTCAAGCTTGTCAGGGCCAAGGGACACCACAGGCCTGTCAGGGGAACCAGAGGCCTAGCAGGGACACCACATGCCTGGCAGGGGCACCACCGGCCTCGCAGGGATATCTTGGGCCTGTAAGTGGCACCACGTGCCTGTCGGGGACACTCCAGGCTTGTCAGGAGCACCACAGTCCTCTCAGGGCCCAGGGGCACCAGCGGCCTAGCAGAGGCACCACCGGCCTAGCAGGGACACCAACGGCCTCGCAAGGGCATCATGGGCCTGTCAGGGGCACCACGGGCCTGTCGTTGGAACTTCAGGCTTGTCAGGGGCACCCACAGTTCTTTCAGATGCACCGGCGGCCTAGCACCATGGCACCATGTTTGGCCGGGATTGCGATTCGGCGCATGTCGCCTCGCATTAGCCGCTCGTTTGCAGTCTTTTCGTGGTTTCAAACGTTCAAACATGGGATATGATGTTGCTCCCATGCATTAGGGTGGGTGTCAAGGTCACCGGAAGGTCAGGTCAGGTCATTTACCTTTGATGACCTCGGTTCACCTTTCCGAGTTCTACAAGATTCTAGGCTAGTTTTTGGAGCTAAATTCGAATTTAGCAACCATTTGACCGTTTGCGAAGTAGTTTTGGTGCCTTCGTAACATGTTACGAGGCTGTCAGAGGCGGTT